TATCTAACCAAGCATCATCTTATTACAAAAACACAAATTAGATTGATAAGTCATCATCGGGAATTAAAGCGTAAAAAAAGATGAAAAATGATTTTGAATTGTTGAATATCTCCAATGCCTCATTGATCAATCTCCTTTGATAGTAAAGATGTATGAATTTATATATGAATGGGTAGTTTGTAACGAAAAATTCTTTAAAAGCTTGAAAGAAATATGTATTTGTTGATCAAAAGAGACCTCCTTAGTATTCTTCTCGGTAAGATATATGTATTACATAGGATCAAAAAGCCCTCCCTTGAATGAATGATAAATGATTGTATTTAAAGCACTAAGAATTAGGTCAAAACTCGTGCCCTAATTACTTTTCAAGTAGAGGTTGAATCAAATTAGGAAACAAAAATCATTTTGTCGAAATTGGCCATGCGATCACACAGTAGAAACTGTTGCGGTTGCTTAGGGATAGCATTGCAAACGCTGGTATGAATTCCAATAGCCTTGCTATCGCAGCCATCAAAGCTTCTGATCGCAAGATTCAACGTTTGCCTCTCTGTTCACTTTGGTCCACGAATTTTTCTTATTGTTCAACTTGAGTCCTTTTCTAATTGCATCTTGGATCCTTCATCTCTCAACTACTACACTGCGATCCTCATCATCTACATAATCCGGTATTGATCCATTGAAAGTTCTGAAAGTTTATAATTGAGTCCCGAAACTTTTCAATTGTTGAATTTAGTTCTCGAAACTTTTGAATATATTTTTATTACTCTCTAAATTCTTCTAATTAATCACGTACAATCCAGATAATCTTAAATTATTCTATATAATCTCCAATTAACCTCAAAAATATCTTTCTTCCTGTCCATTGTATCCATGTTGACGATTAATATATTCTACAAAAATTAGGTAGATTTCCACTCGATGAGTAATAAATAACCAAGTTTAAAAGCTCGTATAATTATATCTTATCAATAGGAATTGGTGCAAGCCGAGCTCAAAAAATACCATATGAGTTGCTCGTCGACTCACGACAGCGCAAGTTGGCTCACTAAGCTGCTTGCAAGCCAGCTCGTAATCTGGATCACGAGCCCTTAGAGGGCTCACAATAGTTGCTGCAGAAACAGCCACCTATGTGCCGGGTGAATGCTTTTGTAGCTGATTTGATGGCACTTGTACTGGCAGGTGCCATCAAATGATATTCAGGCAACCATTTGACAGTTTGAATTTCAATTAGAATTTTTAAAAATATATAAAAATAAATATTGGTTTAAAAAATTTCATGGGGCGACTCGACTCAACTCGAATTGTTGAGATAAAAGACAACTCAGTATAACACGTTAATGATTGCTAGGTATTTTTTGCTAAGAATATTCATTAGGATATTTGTACATCCTTCGCATCTGCAAAGGTTGTGATTGTTTTATAGGTTAGTAATCTAGGTTACCTTAATTAATACAGGTTCTAGGGTTTCAAGCATCTTCAATGCAATATATAAATTATATGCAAGTTGAAAGACTTGCAATTAGGTAGCATTTATGTCCAATATATAGATGGTCAAGCCTAGAATTTGTCCAAGTCAATATTGTTATCTCTGTCTTTTATCTACTCTAAAATTAAAGAAATTAAAAAGGGAAGGGAGAGAAAAAAATTCATTCTAAAATAGAAAGAGAATCATTGGAGACTCGACATATTTAATAGAGGAAAAATCTATTAAACGATGACTTTGGTTTACTAGAGACATCGACATACCCTGAATCGAGATAGAGCTTTAAACAATATTTATTTTCTATGCTACAGTAGATTGACAGTCCCTGTGAACTTGCATTAGAGATGAATTTTTAGGCAGTGTCTATTTTGTTTATGTGACAAAAAAGATACTTTAACAATGCAGTATTGTATTGGAGATTCTCTTAGATTTAATGCCCTGCTAAGATTTGTTACAACTGATTAACATGGTTCTCATATCGATATTTTGAACATAAAACGCTAAAATCTTTAAAAAGAAACCCTCATTGTAAGCTCAACCATCGAAGGAGGGGGTACTCTACTTTAGTGGTCGAGACACTTAATTTTTCAATGGTAAGTGATATCCTCACATATTTTAGTTTTGTAGCAGTCATATCTAAGAGTGAATTAATTATATGTTTTTTCACTTCCTTGAAATCTCGAGTAGACTGCTTTACTACAGCTTAAATTATATAGAAGTCCAAAGTGAGCATCCATTTTATGGTTACAATTTTCTCAATTCACAAGC